GAGAGAGAGAGAGAGAGAGAAAGGTGGGGGGGGGGTATGGATATGATGGTGGAACTGGGTTGTAGGGAGGGAGAAGCATAAAAGGGGTTGAAAGGCAGTCGGAGGAACATTGGGAGGGAACAGTAGCAGGGGAACAACAGACACTGTATGGTGGTGTAGTTAGGTGAAATTATTGTGATCATACGCATTGACCAAGATGAGAAAATTCTTGAGCTCAGTGCTTGGCGCAGGAGGGGCATCAAAGGACCTCCCATACAATATCGGGGATGCGTACTCGACAGCATGGGGCTCTTGGGTGCACTATCGTGGGACGAATAAGGAAGATGGGTCAGCTGTTTCGATCTTCTCGTTGACTGCAACAAGTGCTGGTGATGGAAGATTATCTGCTGCAAGGAATGGAGTAAAGCGGTTGCGAGCGCTGCGGCATCCAAATGTGCTGACTTTCTTGCACAGCACAGAGATGGAGACGATTGTTGATGGGCAGATGAAGCCCATCATTTACATCGTCACGGAGCCTGTCGTGCCGTTAGCGGAGAATGTTAAGGAGCTCAATCTCAGTGGATCTCAGAGAGATGAGTACTACTCCTGGGGATTAACCCAGGTGGCAAAGGCAGTTAGCTTTCTCAGTGACTGCAAGCTTGTGCATGGAAATGTGTGTCTGTCTGCCGTTGTCGTGACACCCTCACTTGACTGGAAGCTACACGCGTTTGACGTTCTCTCGGAGTTTGACGGGGCGAACCCGGCCGCAGAGGGACCCATGATCCCAAACGAGTGGCTTGTTGCATCACAGTACAAGCCGGTAGAACTCACGAAGAGTGACTGGGCTGCGATCCGAAAGTCCCCTCCTTGGGCGATCGATGTGTGGGGATTGGGTTGCTTGATACAGGAACTGTTCAGTGGCATGCCGTTGAAGCGCGCAGAGGATCTTCGGAACACGTCGGTCATTCCGGGCACCCTTCTCCCGGAGTACCAGAGGCTCTTAGGATCGTCTCCGACGAGAAGACTGAATCCGTCGAAGCTCACGGAGAGCGCGTTCTTCCAGAATAAATTAGTCGAGACAATACAGTTTTTGGAGGTGCTGAACTTGAAGGATGGCGTCGACAAGGACAGCTTTTTCAGGAAGTTGCCGACGGTTGTAGAAACGCTTCCGCAGGGGATCGCCGTGCGTAAGATTCTGCCAATGATAGCCTCAGCTCTGGAGTTTGGGTCGGCCACCTCAGTCGGGTTAAACTCCCTCCTCAAGATAGGTTCCTTTCTGTCGCCGGAGGATTTCAAAGTGAAGGTCATTCCAACTATCACTAAGCTGTTTTCGTCTCAGGACCGCGCAATACGAATCGGTTTGTTGCAGCACATGGACACGTTCGCGCCTGCTCTAGCCGCCAATGTAGTCGACGAGCAGGTTTTCCCGCAGCTAACTTCGGGGTTCTCGGACTCGTCAGCTTTTCTAAGGGAGTTGACGTTAAAATCGATGCTAGCAGTGGCACCAAAGTTGTCGCAAAGAAATCTCACCGGAACACTGTTGAAGCACCTTTCCAAACTGCAGGTCGATGAGGAGGCAGCAATTCGGACAAACACAACGATACTGCTGGGAAACATCGCTAGGTATCTGAATGAGGCAACGCGGAAACGGGTTCTTGTCAATGCCTTCACCAGGGCTTTGCGGGACCAGTTCTCACCTGCGCGTAGTGCAGGTGTCATGGCGTTGATGGCGACGGCTGAGTACTACGACGTCGTGGAGACGGCCACAAGGATCTTACCGAGCGTTATGGTTCTGACGATGGATCCGGATTCAGATGTGAGAGGCAAGTCATTCCAGTGCATCTCCATGTTTCTAGAGAGGGTGAAGGAGCACTGGGCAAGGGTCGAGGCTGGAGATTTGGGCTCCATGGGCACTTCTGCAGCGCAATCGTCATCCTCCGCGCTCATAGGGTGGGCAGTGAGTTCGTTGAAGTGGGGAGGGGGGTCAACTAAACCTGCTGCTGAAACTGTCTCACAGGGTCCATCTTCAACCGTGCCACCTGTACTGAGGACAGATGAGAGTGCAGGTCCAGCTCCATCATCGACTGTGGCATTGCAAGTTGCAGAAGGACCCCGCATCTCATTGCAAATCGCACCACACACGCCCGAGCCATCTGGTCAAACGACGTCGCCAAAATCCGTGGATGATGGGTGGGCCACACCAGATGATGTAATTCCAGATGATGGTGATGACGATGGGGGATGGGCTGACCTAGACACGCTGGAAGATCCAGCACCCTCAGCTGTTCCGCGTGCCGCTACCCCTCCTCCACCAGCTGCTGCTAGCTCGGCACCACGCTTCTCTCAGATGCCCCAAAGCAGTAGAGCGACGTCAACAACATCCTCCAATCCGCCCCGGAAGGTAGGTGTGGGAGGAACTGGGACAACTGGGGGAGCGTTGGGCGCCGGGGGGACCGCGATGCGTTCACAGGTCGCAGATGGAGCGATCAGAAGCACCAGCGGTGGCAGCATGCCGAAGAAGAAGGACGAGGATGACGATGATCTGTGGGCAGCAATTGCTGCTCCCAAGCCTGTCTCGACAGTGAAACCATTGAACGCGATGATGCGGAATCATGAGGGATCATCTGACACCCTGCCTGCAACAGCACCGGTCAGAGCAGGTCAGCATGTGCAACTTCCAAAGCAGACCAGTGGGGAAGTCTCCCTTGAAAGCATGCTGGGTAATGCGTTGACTGGTCCGCCAAGTACTAAATTTGGAACAGCGATGAGGACACAGGCAGCGGGAAGAGGCACACCAAGTGGACGGGGCCGCGCACAACCTATGAAGCTGGGCGCAACAAGAATCGTACGATGATCAGGAGGGGTGGAAGAGGAGTAGAGAAGCCAGCAGCAGCTTGTACGAATGACCTTGCAACTGTGGTGGGAGGTTCCTGTACGCTTCTATCTTTTTTATTTTCATTGCAGCTTTGGCAAGAAAAAACAGTCAAAAGGGGAGTGCGTATGACGTGGTCGATAGACTCGATACCGATTGTTTGGTTGCCATATCTGTGCAGACTGCAAGTTTGGATCGTTCACGTGTTTGCTAGCGAGATGGAGGGAGATAGGTGACATGGATGAAATGGATGGGTGGGCGGAGGTACGCAGAGTGTAAGTGGACGATGATGGCAGGGCACTTGGGAGATGGGGGGGGGGGGGGGGGGGGGGGGCGAGCAGGGGAGAAGGAAGAGCGAAAGTGGGATTCGCATGGTTGTGGGACCCACTTATGAGATAGAAAGCGGAGGAAGAAGCAGACACGTTGAATAACTACTCCCATAACCTTAGTAGTTACTTTGGAATGCGGACTTTTGCGATCCGGAACAGGTGAGCCGAGGCACGGCAGAGTGCAAGTGGACGATGATGGCAGGGCACTTGAGAGATGGGGGTGGGAGGGTGCGGGGATGGGGGGAGGAGAAGAAGGAAGAGAGAGAGTGGAACTCGCATGGTCGTGGGACGCACTTACGAGATAGAAAGGGGAGGACGAAGGAGACACTTGGAAATGCACTGAGTTGAGTAATAACTACTCCCATTAGCTTAGTAGATACTTGGAATGCGGACTTTGTGATCCGGAACAGTTGGCGCAAGGAAGGAATTGTTTAGAAGTACGCTTTGTGATCAGTGTTGATTGGTTTTGGTCCGTTGGATCGTTCACGTGTCGAGTGATCCATGATAAGGAGATGGATTGGAGTTGATGCGAGGAATGATTGACGCAGACAAACGAACATGAGGAGTTGTCGTTACTTATCGCAGTTGACGTGCCACCAGCGGCAACCCAGATCACAGGCTAGCTGTTTTACGGCAAGGTGTGTGACAGAGCAAGGTGTGTGACAGACAGAGTTAGATGAGCGTTTCATCCGACGGGACGCATTTCTAAACAAATCAGCAGCTGAGAGTGGCTACTACAGACATGAACGTATGTGTGTAGAGAGTCGGTGAATCCATGATTCTCACCTCCGTTGTCCATTTCTTGCCCTTTTTCATCCACTCTTGGAGGATGGCGAAGGAGAAAGTGGAGAAGCGGGCGCACGCTGATTTGCTTCCCAGATGACTTCTTTCTTTTTGGCCTTTTTGCTCGCTTTGCTAGTCGAGCGGTACGGTTTATTAATAACGCCAGAGCATTTGCGAAAATAGAGACTCGCATGCATCCAAATGCCAGTGCGCTTGCTACATTTGGCAATTGTACCATGCGCATTTTATACCACTGTTGTCACTGAGACCCTCCGCTACCCGTCTTCTTTCATCTTCCATCATGCAAGGGAAGGGTTGTGTGGAGCAGAAACGGAAGATTGAGCTACCGTCTTGGGGGACATTTAAGTGGTGGTGCTGGCAAGCATCGGGAAGAACTGCAGGGTCGGCTTGCTCCATGAGTGGGGAGTGATGTCGAGAAATAGAGGTCGGGCGGGACCACCACTTCGATGTCAAGTCGATTGGTCCTGTGGGACTGCTTGAGTCGGGAGTGATGTCGAGAAGTAGAGGTCGGGCGGGACCACCACTTCAATGTCAAGTCGATTAGTCCTGTGGGACTGCTTGACGAACACCGACAGAGAAAATGACTCTTTTTGACTGACCTGTTACTAAGGGCAGTCCTCACTGCTACCTTGCACGTGCTAAGCAAGCACGAACCTGACCATTAATATGGTCAGGTTCATGCTTTGCAAGCGAGAACATAGTACCAACAAGGCTTGGCCCTAGTGTTTGACAGAGGCTCTCTTATGAGTACTCCAGTGAGAGGCTGTGAGCTGAGGGTGGAATCAGGTGGATGCAGTTGTGGATGATTTCCTCTTCTCTGCAACATGTTCATTCCCAGATCAAGGAAGTGTCTATTTGGGGGGGGGTCATCTCAAGAACAGGTGCGATGAATGCTCTGTAGTTGTCATTTATGATGACCACTACTGCTGTGCTCTCAACAGCCGCAATAACAATCGCAGGAGTCATGTACATGATGCTACTGCTGATTCATGTAAGTGGGCACACAAAGATTGAGAGAGAGAGAGAGAGAGAGAGAGAGAGAGAGAGAGAGAGAGAGAGAGAGAGAGAGAGAGAGAGAGAGAGAGAGAGAGAGAGAGAG